TTCTAAGTGCTTATGCAAAAGACCCTAGAAAACATTTGTCTTATCACTTCTGGCGATGAGAAGTCCTGTATAAATAAACTTGCTTAATGTTGCTTAAAGAGACATCTACAGTCTGAAAAGGTGAACAGCAAGGTCAATATTTCACTCATGCACTCTGAATAATGTATATGCATCTACCAGTAAAAAAAGGAATAAGACATAATCCCCATTAATTCATTCTTTCTACTTCATAGGGTTTTTGTGAGAACTAAATGGTCTATTGCTTATAACATACTTAATACTTGGTTGGCCCACAATAAATACTAGCCATACTAAGTATGGGCTACTATTGTCAAGAAAAACTGAAAAGAAATATTCAGAGAAGGAGGGCAAAGAAGAGTAGTATGGCAGGAGCCATGGGAAGAGTTTCTGGAGGGCACAGCAGGACCCGCCATGGAGGAATAAGTGCATCGAGTGGAAAAGAGTCAAGAAGGTCTAGCCTGGGGACATACAAGGGGACTTTTGCCAGAGAGGTGTTAGGGGAAGGGCTGAGGTGGAAGCCAACCAACTGGCTGAAGAGCAAACTTGCACCTGAGTGGAGATGGTGGCTACTTATTGAAGATGGGCAGTTTCACTGTGATAGAGGAAAAGGATGGCAACAGAAGTCTCCAGAGGGAGCACATTTGTAAACTTTGAAGCAGTAGCTAGCAAAGGTACTGCTGGAGATTCAAGAGAGAGAAAAAACTGATTGGACAGGTCCTGAAGAAGACTGAAAAAGAGGGCATCCAGCACAGGTGGGGAGAGGTGTTAGTCTTGAAGAATCAGGCCATTTCTCACCCTCCAAGACTGGGGGCGGGGGATGCAGAGGACGTAAGGGTAAGTTCAGATACAGATGCATTTATAGGCATGGGAGGTGGGGGAGTTGAGGTAGTGCACTTAGAGAATAGCGCATTATCTTAGTGAAATGGAGGCAGGGTCATATCCTAAGAAGGAGAGTGTGAAGCAAATAGTAGTCAAGAACAGCTGCCATTGGATGAAGCTAGCCTGGAAGACAGGTAAAACAATTCTTTAGTCCTGACAGGTCAGATAACTAAATTGGAGACCTAGCATTTTCAAAATGGCTTTAATAGGTAGGATTATGTTTCCCCAGTACCTCTTCCCAGCCCAGGTGGAGATAATGAGAATCAGCTTGTCCATGTCTTTGGGAAGGTTATGAAAATTAGTATGAGGTTGAAAGTAATGGAAATGGGGACCATTTGACTATAGACCTCTCTAGTTTCTCAGACTTCTGAGGCGTCAATTCTACAAACAAAATCTGTGTGAACAACTGGGACTGCCAAACCACCGGTCTCAAGGGGCAAAGGGGTTAAAGAATGGACTGTCACCCTCCAAATTCAAAGAGAAGAATCAAATTCTTATTTAAAGCACTCTCCCTGAGAATCTCAGTGTTCTAGGGTTACAGGTGGTAAAACAATATACTAATATTCAACCTTTGATTAAACTTCATAGTCCTCAAATTTGATGTATGCCCTTTCATCTAGGATAAAGCAAAGTTAAGGACACTCATATTCAAGGTTTTATGTAAAACAGATAGGATTAGTAGGATTAAGAATCACATGGCATGTAAAATAAAACTACACAAATATTTACATGATTCAGTATGTGTGCCAATGGCACATGTCATCCTGCTGAATCAAAGGAACTTCAAGCATCTTTCTGCTATTGTCTTCACCCCAACAGTTACCTTTCAGGTAAGTCCACAGCTAGGTGTCTCCTCTAAACCTAGCCAATAACAGAAAAAGATCTAGCTGTTAAAAAGAATTAGGAAGAAAATTTTCTTCTTCCAAGCTCACTTCAGGAAGGTTCTTTAGGATGGCTTAAAATTGCTGTTAGTTATTTTAGTAGATTTAATGAGCTTTTTCTTTTAAAAAAGTTAAGGTGTGTCCTTTTGTTGTTCAAAAGAGAATAAAGACAATAGCAAAAAAGTGACTACTGCATCCTGGGATATTATAAAGCAATGTAAATACCAGTTATCCAGATAGAAGAACATCACTGGCTATACTGCCCCTGCAACGAGCCCATTCCTTCTTATGAAGTCATTGCTCATTGTTGTTTCTTCATATTCTCCTAATAAGCAAATATGCTTACCATATCAGAATGAACTAATCCTATTTCTATAACTAGAGTAGTGCTACCATCACATTAACATAGTACTCATAAACATGAGTAAAAAAGAAAAGACTTTATAAGGACAGATTTCTTAGCGAAGTCATCTGACTCAGAAGGTTACAACTGGGATTTTAATACTGGAATATAAAGTGGTGTCACTGGAGCTTACATATCAGAAATCTGACTAGCTTATTAATAAGCAAGGAAGTCAGAATTTACTTTGTAATTATAAACATCCTAGACTGCCAAATGACAGAATAGCATAATTCAGTCAAAAAACTTAACGAGTCCCTTGTATTAGATCTGTGATTATAAAGTGAATAAGTCTCAGACCTCAGAGCGGTCTCAACAACTCTCATCTTTCTGAAAAGAACTTTGAGATGACATCAAGTCAGCCCCTCAGTGTGATAAAGCTAATGCCAAGTTACAATATGACTTAATTACTCATTCATTTTGCAATGAAGTCACACCTTTTTTAGGAGAGAGTTATATTCCACAGTTCATGTCTGAGACAAAATTACCCTTAAATATGTCTTGCAGAATTGTGTGGGACCATTTTGGCTGGTTTTTCCCACATGACTTGAACAGATCAATGTTTCTTTGGCTGAACACCCATGTTACACTTAGCAACTACAGTCCTTTGAAAAACACGTATCTTTAAACAATGTGTTATACATTTGGAAATATCGGTTTGTTTTGTACTTTTAAAAACCATAAATGGGATTACAATGTACTTTTCATAAGTCTCATTTATTTTACCCCCTGAAGGTGTTTAGAAGGTCTTTCAGTGAAAGCATTTGTGGAAACTTGTATTTTCCAAAAGTGGCCAACAGCAGTAGTTTTTATCTTACATGCTCCTTAAGATCCTTGCCTCTTCCCATCAAGAGGTGGGGTCTATTCCCCTTCTCTATGAGCCTTGGTGAGGCTTTTTAAGGGTCTGGATAAAGATAATGCAGCAGAATTGATGCTGCATGACTTCTGAGGCTGGGTTGTAAAAGGTAGTAGACTTCTACCTGGCTCTCTCTTTCTGTTGGGATACTGACCCTGGAAACCCGGCCATGACACTGTGAGGAAGTCTATAACATTCATACTAAGAGACCACATGGAGAGGTCTACATGGAATTGAACTGAAGTCTTCAGCCTGCAGCCTCCAGCCAGTATCAACCACCAACATGAGAATGAAAAGTTTTCATATGACTCAGTCCTCAGCCTTTAAATCTTCCAGTTGAGGCCCTTATGTGTAAGAAAGCGAAGTCATCCCTGGTGTGCTCAGTCTGAATTCCTGACCCAAGAATCTGTCATATAATAAATGGTGTTTCATACCACTATGTGTGGGGATAATTTGCAGTAGTAATGGGAAGAGTGCCAATATAATCTTATTTCAATCTTTTAAACAATAATATAATTAGTAGTAATATTTGATAGTATTTATATATCAGAAGCTTTTTTAGTCACTCCTCTACTGATAAATACTTAGGTGGCTTGGAATTATTTTTTCCTATTGTAGACAAGACTGTCTTAAACAAGATTCTACATATCTGTGCACAATTGTATTTCTATAAAAACCTACAAATGAGTTTTTATAAAAACATATAAATAAGCTATCTAATTAATACATGTAACACACTTAGTACCTGGCACATAGTAACACATTGTATTTTCATTACTATAGGTTGAACTTCTAAATGGAAGGCCATAATTTTTTCCTTAATATCTTTAGTGACAAGAACCCCCACGAAGTGTTATCTTAACAGCTATGCTACAGTGTATTCCACTTTCTACAGTTTAGATTATGGCAAACAGTTGCAAACATCCTCATAGAACTATATTCCTGGAAACGTCCATCCACTGCACACCTAATTCTACAAATCAGTTTTCTTTTAAACACAATATGCTCCGTGTGCCGATAAGTTACACTAACCGTGTTCCTCATAGCATAGGTCTGCTGAGAATCATCAGTTGTGGATTCGAGCAGAAAGAGCAGTCACATGCTCAAGCGCATAATGAATGCAGTTCTATTCCTTCTGCATTCACTTGGGGAGTGGGTGTGGAGGAGGTGGTTCAGAACCTCTTCATCAGTGATTCCCACCCTATCATAATTCGTGTGACAGTTTAGGAATGTGCTTTTACCGCCATTGTCACTCTCTTCCGCCATCTCTCTCTTACTCTTCCCAGGCCTGCCTGCAGCTGACCAGCACCTGGTTAATCACATTTACCTCCAAATTTCTGGGCGGGGTGAAGGGGATAAGAGAGGAAGAGGATTACCTACCTGTCCACCTTCAAAGGAGGAAAGACTAACTTATTCCACATTGCAAACGACCAAGTTTCAACAGCCATTCCCACATTTTCACAGTTCAAAACCTTTAATTTCCTCTCCTTTCCGATTTTCTTCCCTGATTTGCTCCATTTTTAGGGACTCGGGTAACCGCTCCCCCGCCACGCGCCCTCGGTCCGGGAAAATGTTAAGTAAGCGTTGTGCAGCTGAGGAACAGCGCTTTTGGGAGGCTAGTGTGCGGTCGGGTCGGCAGGCCCCGCGGAGGTGCCGGGCTTGAACTAGGAGCACCAGTATGGCCCATCCCCCCCCCGGCGCCGCGTTGCAAGATACGCAGGCTGAGCGGTCCCAAAGCGAGAGAGTGGGCTGCGAGCGGGTGACTCCAGAGCCCTCAGCAACTTCCCCGCCCCACAGTCCCACCCATCAGCTCGCAGCTCCCTCGAAGCGCGCAGGGGACACCTTCGACCCCGCCCCTCCACAGGTCACCTCGCTCCACGCCCCTTTCCTTCAGCCCCGGCAGCCGGCAGGCAGGGAAGTGTCGTAAAGCCAGGCCTAGGAAACTTTACCCGGGGTAACAGCCGAGGCGCTTTACGGCGACGGTGGCTGAGTGCGATCCTTGGCTGCCGCGGAGGAGGCGGTGAGGGAGGCGGTGAGGGAGGCGGCGGCGGCGGCGGCTGAGGAGGAAGAGGAGTGGCGGCAGTGGCGGCGGGGACCTGTGCGGGGTGAGCCACGCCGAGGAGATGGGGAGGGGCCGCGGGTGACAGGGCTGGCGGACGGGCGCGGGCGGACGGGACGGTGGCCGGCCGAGCAGCTGGGCGGCGCTGAAGAGCGGAGCGGGGGGGGCGGGGGGCGGGGGGCGCGGAATTGGGGGGCTTCCCTGCGAGGGACGGTTCCTGCTTTTGTTCCCCCCTCCCCTGCCGCCGCCACCTCCGCGGCCCCCGCCCGCCGCCGTCTGCTCCTCGCCGCTCGGCCGGGGCTCATGGCCTCCCCTTTCGGTCTGTGTCGCCTCTAGGATGGCGGAGGTACCGCCTGGGCCTAGCAGCCTCCTCCCTCCGCCGGCACCTCCGGCCTCGGCGGCGGCCGAGCCCTGCTGTCCCTTCCCGGCGGGGGCCGCCGTCGCCTGCTGCAGCGAGGACGAGGAGGACGACGAGGAGCACGAAAGCGGCGGCTGCGGGAGCCCGGCGGGCGGCGAGTCGACGGCCAAGGGGCATCCGTGCCTCCGCTGCCCTGCGCCGCCGCAGGAACAGCAGCAGCTCAATGGATTGATCAGCCCCGAGCTGCGGCACCTCCGGGCGGCAGCCTCCCTCAAGAGCAAGATTTTGAGTGCGGCCGAGGCGGCCCCGACCGCGGCAGCCCCCGATGGGGGCCCCGGAGCGACTGCAAAAGGAGGCGGGGTGCTCTCGGGCGAGAGACCCCCTCACTGCCTCCCCAATAATGCAAGAACTACGCTCCCCAGCCCGGCAGAGGCAGAGGCAGCAGCAGCGGCAGCGAGCGATCCCGCGGCGGCCCGCAATGGACTGGCGGAGGGCCCCGAGCAGGACGAGGACGACGAGCAGGTGCGGCTGCTGTCTGCATCCCTGACCGCCGGCTGCAGTTTAAGGAGCCCCTCAGGCAGGGAGGTTGAGCCTGGGGAGGATCGGACGATACGTTATGTCCGATATGAATCCGAGCTACAAATGCCCGATATCATGAGACTGATCACCAAAGATCTGTCTGAACCCTACTCCATTTATACCTATAGATATTTTATCCACAACTGGCCTCAGCTGTGCTTCTTGGTAAGTGGATGGAATGAAAAGAGGGTGAACCCAGCAGAGAGATCCAGGCCGTTCAGGGCAGGGAATGTGAGGGCTGAGAGTGGCAGTGGATGTATCCTTCTGCATTCCTTAGTACTGTGCATGATGTTAAGTGCGTGTGAACAGTCTTGGTTGTTTAATGAAGCTGTTTTGAAGGTTAAGACTTCATGATCCCGGTTAACTTGATACTGATGTGAGTGCAACAAGCCTGCCTGATGCACGTGGGAGTCTTTACATTAGCTTATATCCTGTTTACATTAGCTTATAATCATGTGTAACCGTCTTTAATTACCCTCCTTCATCCTCAAAGCACTTTGCAGTCATTTAATTTGAACACAGTTCTGTTTGGGTACAGGCCTTATTAATCTCTCAATTACAGCCAAATCAGGGAAGAGTGTATGCATAAACATGTTTTACGGAACATGATTGTCAGTAAACTTGATGATGTGGCCACATTGGAGATTTAAATCTTAAGCATTTTCCGTAATTATGAAGATTGTTTCCTTTGACTTCAACAGGACAATTAGCAGTTGTAGACAGCATTCATTCTGGTGTTGGATTGTAGAAGGCGCTACTAACACTTCTGGTAGCTGAAAGATTCCTAAAACTTGAACAAAATATCCTTTTATGGAATGTAGGAAACTTTAAGTGTGAAATGTTCTAATTAAATTAAAAAAATTTTTTTAAAGAAACTAGTCATAGATATATCTAAATATTAGTAGTAACACTGGCTTGTGTAAAATACAGTTAACAAAAATTTTTACTTACATGTAAGCAAAATGGTCATGGCTACTAAACATGCTGAATAATTTTTAATTTATGTAGTACTGGCAGTACCAATAGTTTCTTCCCAATAATATGAACCAATTTCAGTCTGTATGAAACCTTTCACTTAAATATTGACTGCAGGTGTACACTTTGGATCATGTACTCACAAGCTTGTTGTTTCCATTGAACTTTACTGAAGGCAGTGTGCTTTAAAGGAGTATTTTATATGAAGGGAAAAGCCACTACCATTATTTGTTGTTTTAGTATTGACTTACTTGCACTTGGCAATTCGCTGCAGGACGTTTTGACACTACTTCTGAAGTCTATGTTTTTGATTTTGTAGCTTGGTGATAATCAGAAAATATTACCTCAGGATTGTAGATAATGGTCGTTGTGCTATTTTCTGTGTTCACTTCGCTAAACTTCAATTTGGTATCTTTGTTTAAACTTTGGGAACTATCTTATATTCTCCGAAGCTGTTCTTAATAAGATTCTAACCACTGTGTCAAAATAGAAGTTCTAAAACATGTCTACGTCAATGAATATGGAAAAATGATTTTATAGCACTATCATAAGTGTCATATCAAATGCCATTGTAATTGCTAAACGTTGCAGATGGATTTGTTAAGTTAACCCACAACATACAGATCAGTCACACTTGAAATTGAAATAGTGTATGCATTTCTGTTAATTCCATAAAATAGTTGTGTATATGTGATAGCTATCTTTTGAATTCTGATACCATCTAGGCCTCTTCCAAATTGTCTGCCATTATAGACTCTGATAAACTTAATTTTAGTTTTGATTTTACAGACTCCCAGGTCACCAGCTGATTTGTACCTTAGTCCTTAATAGCCAGTTTAACATTAAATTCTGAATATCTAGAAATTCAAATATGCACAAGGTTGACCCTATAAGATTTACAACTTACAGGATTAGTGCAAGTATAAATCTGGAGATACTGAACATAAAATAGTTAAAACAATAAACAATCAGGCCATTTAGAAGTGGGGCCTTTATATGTAGTGGCATCTAAAATTTTTGAATTTCTTGTAAGAAATAACTTAAAACAGTAAGGCATGTTTTTTAAAAATTATATCATTTTAGAACTGTACAGGATCCTAGAAATAATCTAGCTCAACTTTTTTTTTTTAATGAAAAACAAAAGGACCAGAGTGACTGAAAATGTTTAAATCTCTGGACATTTAGTGGCAGACAAATAAAGCTAGAATCCAGGTCTCCTGGCCTTTCATTGTGGAAACAAGTTAACCTGAAAAATGACATACCCTTGACCATTCAGTGAAGATCATTATGTCACCAACTTATGCTTTACTAAGGGACAGTTGTCCTTGTGAACATCAATCTTAAAGAGATTAGAAACCTCCAAAATGTACCTCATTTCCAAGAGTTTCCAACTTGTAATGGATCAAATGGAATATATGAGTTGAACCGAAGACAATTGCTATTACTTGACCATATTTTATTAACAAAAATTATAGTTTCTTATGATTTTTCCTAATAATTGTGTAACAGATGACAGAGTACAAGTGGTAGGCACTGTCAATTACTCTGTGCTTAACTAACTTATCTGTACCTCTTTTGAGTTCATGATATTTTCAGTTGTTGGTGCCTTTTTGAACTTCCTAAATTTATCACCGGTGATGAACTATAGTACTTCCATTTATTCTAAATTTAGCTTTTTGGCTTCCTCTGTTTTCCTATTTGTAATGTTCTGGGATTTGAGAGTTTTTATTTCAGGTAATTTATATTTTCCAAGTTTTATAGATTGACAAGCATTTGGTCTTATAGAACTAATTAAGTCTTAAACTTTCCAGGAATTTTTCAGTTCCCATCCTTGAAAAAAGAGCACATTTAATAGAATGAGATCCAAGTGTATGTGCAGAAGCTTTCTTTTATTTGGAAAAATTATTAGGCAGTTTAGTGATTGTTTTAAGTGTACATTCATTAGCAGTTTATCAGGAAAAAACAGCAATGATCTTCTTCACTACCAAATCTTAATAATAACAGTGTATCTTTTAATGGGCTTTAATTTTTTTAATGATGTGTATAACTCCACTTTTGCTACTACAGAGTCCTAGTTAGGAAGAAATCAATCTAATGAACTAATACACTTTGCTTATTATTTCCTTGGTCAAAGGACAAAGATTTGTTTGAAATACTTAATCCAATTTGAAAGTATTGTCCATTTGTATTGTGTGGAGTGGTTTGAATCTTTTCCTCTTTTAGATGGTTTATTAACTGTGAAGTGTAGCTGTCTCATAGTTTTGTATTTTGTATCATAGATTTAGTTTGATTTCCATTTCCCCGAGCTTATGAAGTCCGGTCAAAACATTTTTCTGATGTTCCACTTGGTCTGTGAACTGTACGCATGCGTGTGCGCGCGCGCGCACACACACACACACACACACACACGAAATGAGTTATTTTCAAATCAGAAAGTGCTGTCAGAGTTGTTCGATCAGGCAGTTTCTATGTATATTTCATTCAGCTCTTTGATACAGAAAGTAATTTTAGTTTTCAAAAGTTTTGAAAGAACCAGATTTATTTATAGTGAGTGAAAATGGAAACAACAATTTTTAGATGTTTATTGGCCCCAGGTAGTTTGGGTTGTGTGATAAAACAGAAATGAGTTAGTGGATATTGTTGAATTTAATAGCCCTTCAGAAGGATTTTTCTGACCTAGTTTAGGTTTCTGTGAAATGGATTAGAATTATCTTACCTAAAAGATTTCTCCACAGTTATAAAAAGGCTTTAGTCAGTTTACAGAATGATGAACTAAGAAAATGTCAAAAATTCAAGTTCAAATAGATATTAAGTATAAATTGTGCTTTGCTTATTAATTTTTAACCCATTCCTAGTTTTTGTTGTTGAAGTGTTGTCTTGAAAAGTTAACTTTATGAAGAGATAATATGAAGTCTTCAAATTTTTTAATGTGTGCTTTCTACAACAGACAAGTATTTCTATCTGACACATTATTAAGCAATTGGATCTATTATCTATTTACCAGAATACAGTATTACTTGAACTTTAAATCAGTGATGGAATTTTTGAAAAATATATTTTCAATGGTGACTAGAAATATTAATGAAAATGAGGAGTGATTAGTGTTTATTTAACATGTAACCTTTAACATTCTGGAAAGGTGTACATTTTTATTAAATTAGCTCTGTAAAAAATTAAAGCTTTTACATTAATCTGAAGCTCTGATTTTGAGTTCTAGGTATCCTACGAGCTTTATGACACTGTCAAAATCAGACTGTCAGATATCTAGTCTTTGTACTATTTCAGTAACAAAAACCCCTTGGGTAAGATCTGAGGAATACCTTAAAAACAACCTTTTTCTGAAAGTCTTTTATTTTTTTCCTATCAAAATCTAACTACTGTTCAGTTATAAGTATTATGTATTATATCTGTCTTTCCCTGAAACCTCATTACAATCAAATTTATAGTACTCTGCTGATAAGCAAGTTTCACAATATTTTATCAGACCCTAATGAATAGACTTTTTCTTAAAAACTACTTTCACGTATTTTTCCCCTTCACAAATCTTAAACAAATAGTTCTTTATTGAAGATAATGATAAGCCCCTCTCATAAAGTACTTGCATGTTTACCTTGTGGGAATCTTGCTTTTTCCTCTAGGCCTTGATAATAAGCATAAGAAATTGATGTTTAACGAACGATGAATGATTTTAAAACTAGAACATCTGAAGTTCTGGGATTTAGATTTCTGAAACTTTGTGATTGTTCTCTTGTCAGAATTCTTGTTGCCTCTGCCTCTCTGAAAAATGGTGACCAATGGTTTCCCTGGGTAGTTGTGCAATACTTGATGGCAATGTATTCTTCATAATTGTTTGTTTATTTTTAAGGCCATGGTAGGGGAGGAGTGTGTAGGTGCCATCGTTTGCAAGTTGGATATGCACAAAAAGATGTTCCGCAGAGGTTATATAGCCATGTTAGCTGTGGATTCCAAATACAGGAGAAATGGCATTGGTAAGAAAAATATTATATTACTAAAAGAATGCATAAGTTACTTTCATTTTTGTTCTTTGTAGCAAAATACTTAAATGTAAATATGTAGAAATGAACAAGTGAAGGGGAAAAATTTTTTATTTAAAAATAGTTTCAAAATATTATTAAAATAAATTTTTATTAATGTTTTAATTGTTTGAAAGATTATCTTTCTAACAGGTAGCAGGTGATCAGTTTTCACCTCCAAACATCTTTCAGATCATATTGAAAATGTTTTGCATTATACTAAGTACTATAATTTTTAATATCATTAGGGCACTTGGTCACAGCCCTCAAGCAGCTGTCTATGCTTGGGTTTAGTGTACCTCAATCAAGGCAACATTATGGAGAAATTGTCACCATTATGTAGTACTAGTCACCAAACATTATATTAACAATTTAGGGAAGTCCAAGAGAAAGAATTGTTTCTTACTGTTTTCAGACTCATTTATTTTTGGGGCCTATCTTCCTTGGCATTTTCAGTTAGTCTTGTACTCATGGTCATTATAGTAGTCATTAAATCATCTGGGTAATTTAAAAACAAATGGTCACGCCCCTCCCTGTGAGAATCTTGTTTGTCCTGTTAGAAGTAGGGCTGAAGCTTCCCCAGGTGACTGTGATGTAAGCCTGGTTAAGAACCACTGTCCTAGTGTCTGGGACTTACAGGTTCTTTGTTCAAGATGGAGGATGAGGTAGACCAGCATTTGTCTGAGCATGTCAAATTCTGGGACATACTGAAGCTAAGTAAGTATTCATGAAAGATTTGATGCCTGTACCAGTATCTAATTACTAGCAGTTGTGTCACTTGTAGTTTTTTTTTAACCGTGTTACTGTCTAATTTAAGACTATCACATAATCTGAGATATCATGAGAAATCATTATGAATAGGTTTACTTAATACATTAGGTGTAACCAACTTTTCTTACAGTGTTTATCACTGAGATTTTTACTGAATTGTGCTTGTTATATAAGCCAAATTTGAGTCTTTGATGGATTAAAAAGAGCTGATAAGAACTCAATGGCAAATGATAGGAAATTGGCTAGTTCAGAGGGTGGAAACCAGTGACTTGAGGGTTGCATCCTGGCCCTCAAAACATTTTGTTTGGCTACATAACGTGCTTGCTTGTGTGCATAGTTTGAGAATTAAGAGATTTCTTCTCTTAAAGTTAGATTTGTCATTGTTTTCTCTTCATAAACAAATATATCGGATCCTAAACTAGGATGTGTTTTGCTAGACATTTACAGATCCACCACTGATATCCTTTGGGAGTGCTGGACTTCATGTTCCCAGGCTCTCTGTAAGGTTTGTAGAAACCAACCCAGTGTCTTGGGTGTGATCTTTGGCAAGATTGGCTCAAGGGTCATGCACTGAGTTCTCCCCAGTTCAAGGAGTTCCTGGGTGGTCTGACCATACCATATCTTGCCTTTTTCTTTTTCTTTTTCCCTTTTTCTCTTACCTTCACACAAAGTAGTACAAAATCCTGGTTGGAACACATAACACTTGAGAAAAAGGAATATATCAGGAGATAGGTCTTTCAAGAGGAAACTTGCATTGCTATGTGTAGGTTTTTTTGGCCTCTCAGTTTAAATCTAAAATTTTTGTCAATTTGGGAAAATTTAAATTCATTCAAGTTAGAGCCCAACATTTGGTATTTCTGTGCTTATGAATATCATAATTTAGGTATTTTTAAGAAACTAATTACATTTTTCCTTCATTAATACTCAGATCTATATTCTAGGTACTAACTTGGTTAAGAAAGCTATATATGCCATGGTTGAAGGAGACTGTGATGAGGTAAGTCTTTCTAAATGTATAAGACCTTTTATCCTGGACAGCATCCTACTGGATATTTTTGTGGCTATCCCAAAATAAATTGTACTGCAAATTTAATTGCAGACTATTATATCAACGCAACTGGTGGTGAAAATTATATTCCATTTAAAAAACGTGAGTTTTAATGAACAAATTTTAAGATAATAATGGGAGCTAAAATTTGTTCTGCATCAAAATGCAAAGGTGAAGTCTTAGACATTTTCAGTAAATAACTGGTATTTAAAGGAATTGGTATTCACAGGATTAGTTATCAGTTATTTAAGATCACTCTTATTACAAACCTTACTGCAGTTTACTTGCATATTGGCTGTAGTTTCTCCCTAAATAACCCTCTTTTTTTTTTCTTTTAAACTGTGGGCCAGTTGTCAGCCCATATGAAGGATGTTTCCTACTTGAAAAAAATCAGTATTAAATAATGATAAGGCTGATGGGGAAAAGCAATCACTTTTTAAACATGGAGCTATATGTATGTTAACCTAAGAGCATCTTCTCTATTCAGCTTGTTTGTAAGTCCTGATGGCAGGTCTAATTTCTTTGTATCCAACAGCACTGTGCTTTACAAATGGTAGGTGCTCCATAATAATGGTGATGGTTGGGAGTTAAGATTTCTATTGTGTAATGTGGAAGGGAATAAGTATAAACTAGGGAAGTATAGGTGTCTTTGCTATAGCAATGGTGACTAAGAAGGAACAAAGTTGTATTGTGCTAGTAATTTTATGAGTGGTGTGACAACTGTCTTTATTATTGGAGGGTAGATGTTCTCAAAATACTTGAAATGAGGTAATTTTTAATCAGTAGGCTGACTTCAGTAAATAGGTAACTTGGTTACTTTTTTAAAGGTGGGATTTATTTTCTCCTGTACAGAATTTACACACAATCATTAACCATTATGTGTATGTATGTATTTTGGGGAACAAAGTCCCTTCTTCCACCATCTTCACATTCTTCAATTCTTGATCTTTTTTTCCCACTTAGAGGTTCTGTTAATCTTGAGATATGCATCCTTCCATTTTCTAAGCACACCTGTGTACAAATGTGTAATACTTTTTTCTATAAAGAAATCGTAATTATTATTCTGCAATAATTATTTTTTTCCATTTAACAATATCTCATGAACACATTTCTATGTCAGAATATAGAAATTTACCACAGAGTATTCTCATACATCTTGTTCATATTAGTTTGTATTCTGACATCACACTAAATGGTAGTTGTATGAGAAGACCTACTCTGTGTGTGGGTAGCACAGAGAAATTATTTTGGGATTTAAGCATATTTAATTTTACTCCAAATAAGATAATTTACAGATGGCTAAGGATAACATATTGTTCACAGATTTTAGTGTCAAACAGTAAAAGGTGCAGTGACACTGATCATTTACATGGTTGGTAACTAAAATTTGTTGAAGAGAATTGAACTTCAAATGTTTTATAAATACAGTTCTTTGTTTGTTGTACACTGACTCAGTCAGCTCATCAAGAGGAGCCAGGCTTCCCAAACATTGCTTAACAGTTTGAAGAAATGTTTGGGATGATAAGACCATGTTTGATCCTCTACTCCTACTAAGTAGAATGGTTTCCATTAAATATGGATATTATGAGCAGGGAGGATTATGTTCCTTATGGTTAATCCTTTTCTGTCATCCTGACTACCTGCGAGACAGGCTATTTCTACCTTCACTGTTAAAACGTTTATGTAGTATTGGTTTTTCTTTGAAAGTTCTGAGGAGTTACAGGGAGATTTTGGTATATCATTTTAGTTTCAAGGTTAAATCCTAAATTAGTGATACATTTAGAAATACTCTTTATTGTGGGTCTAAAAATCTGATTCTGATTCATTTTTCTTACTTTTGAAGCAGTGTGTTTTCCTTACTGAAATGGAGATACTTCCATGAATTTATTCTTGTTCTCTGGTTTTAAATGGATGGTAAAGGGATGGTTTTTGGAGTTTAAATAGTTCTGCCTCTGGATTCGAGAACTCTTCCATGGTTTAAAAAATTTGATTATCTGTGTTCCTGTTGTTCAGATAAATGATTTGCTGTATGAAAGGACAGAACTCTTGCTTGTTTGTTATGATTTTCACTCTCTCGTAACACTGAGTTTTCAACCATGTGAGTAACAAACTCTTCTATCCCTGTTTCCCTTCCAATTTTTGATAGTAGTGTGTTAGTTGGTTCCATTTCCTTCTATTACCATTTTACCCCATTTGGGTTAGGTTCTCTCTCTGTTGTAGTGTGAGTACTTTCTCACTGATGGATTTGCTGGCCCCAGTAGCTTCTGGGTCCTCCTCTGCTTGTTAAAATTTCTCAGTCTTGAAGACCACATTCAAATATCACCAGTGCCTTTAAGTTTTCCTTAATCCTTTTGGACAGAATTGCACCTCTATGATTTTCTTGACTTCCCTTTTTGTAATACTTAACTTAAATTTCCTTGTTCAGAGCCTGTGCTTTAGCCACTAAGTACAGCAGAGAGGCCTTTTCTTAATTGCTGCTGTATTCTCAGTATTTTATGTGGCATTTGTGATAGAGTATGTGGTTCATAAATATTTGTTGACTGATTAGTTCAATGCTTCCAGCATCTTTTATCTGTACTTTTCTTTTAAAAATCACTTGAATTTTGACTTGTATAATTGTTCATTTGTCTTCCTATCTGAACTTTGTAGGAACAGCAAAACTGTGTTATTTTTGTACATATTAAGATAAAATGTATCCACATAGTTAACAAAGTTGTTAAATACCTTTTGATAAAAACAATTATATGTCTTACTAGTCTTGTATATAATTAATTGTCCTGAGGAGAACTTTGAAATTATAATTCTCCAAGAATACAATGACCAATTATAAAACAACCAACATGTGTTTTTACTTTCATCAAATTAGGCCAACCTTCCTCTTCAAGTGTTAAGAAATTTTGACAAACTATAAGAAAAACATTTGAGAAGACTTTTATATTTTCTACTACTTAGGTTGTGCTGCCTTTTTTTTTCTTACAAAGATGAGATTTTTAAACCTATGAACATTTAAGACAGATACATTTGGAAATCTCTATGAAGCCTTACTATGAACATCTAGTCAATTTTTACTTGCTATTCTGTTTGCAGAATTTATTTGTAACTTTGAGCCATGTTTATATTGCTGTTGGTTGTCACTGTCATCTTAAGGTAAATTCAGAATAAATTAAACCAAAGTTAGTCACCACAGAGTTGAAATGTAGATCATGTTTTTGCCTAAATAATGAAGATATACTCTCCTGGTCTAATAGATATTTTCATTTTGTCTTAGTAAGACTTGACTAACTTTTTATATCAGAATTAGACATGTTAAAATAGCATAGCTACAGATCTTTTTCAATTTCTATGTATTTGGAGCTGAGAAGTTATTGCATCAAGAAAAGAAGCAAGTGGTTTAATTTCTGCATGAATTAGAAATACATTACCCATATTGCTGATCTGCCTTGAAGTTGGTTACACCCCTGTGTGCTCTGGCTGCCAAATGTGTAGTGGCTACTAGGACAAGCACCTGGGGTTTGTATTTTATGTTAGGGGAAATAGTACAAAAAATACGTAAAATAGCTTGGATAAGTTTTCTAAAATGTAATTTTTATGATGGGCATTTACTTTTATGTACTTTTTTCTGAAATAACTTAGAACGAGGTGAGTGATATCAGCATGATGATAAGCTGTAGATGTCCTTTAAGTCTTCAACTCTGGAAATTTATATTTCAAAGGTTTTTTTAGATTTAAGGTATGATAACCATGCTATTAATATGCAGAACTAACTCATATATGATGAGAATATCCTGGAATCAAAATTTCTTAATGTAATTTAAGTGTGAGTGGGTGACCTAAAACATTTTTAGTTGACTGGTATCTTCCCATTTCTCCATTTCTGCTGTCCCATCATTCTACTCTAAGTTTGTCTTATTTTCCATATATAAGTAAGATGATGCAGTATTTGTCTTTCTGTGTCTGAATTACTTCACTTAATATAATGTCCTTCAGGTTCATCCATGTTATCACCATGGCAGAATTTCTTCTTTTAAGGCTGCATTGTATATATATGCCACTTTTTCTTTATCCGTTCATTTGTTGATGGATATTTAGGTTGTTTTCAATGTCTTGACTCTTGTGTATAATGCTGCAGTAAAGATGGAGTGCTGGGTCCTCTAAGAGTTCTATTTTTAATTTTTTGAGGAACCCCATACTGTTTTCCATAATAACTAGCAATTTACGTTCCCACCAACAGTGGCCTAATTTATTTAAATAAGCAATAATAAATATTTTGTTTTCCTGCTAACAGAATAATGTTTTATGTACAAGATGAGTTTTTAAAGTTTTTTGTGTTTAGTAATTACATGGTTAACATTTTTAGTTTCACTGGAGACATATTTTGGCTATGAGACAGGCTGCTAGGTAAAGAACAAAATAAAATGGAGTTATTTAAGCTGTAAGAACTTTTGGATGAATAGTTTGTTCTAATTAATAGGGCGTGAAAAGCCTGGGTTCTAGATCCACCTTGTCACTTAAGTGTAGTTAATGTTGATTGTTGACAAGTCATTTAGCTTTTTGTAGTCTTTTTGTCTGTGCAATGTGGTGATACTGATTTTAAAGGGATGTTATGAAAGCAATAAAGTTGTTCATTCAAGAATGTCAGTGTAAGGCCTGTGAGGTGCCAGACAGTGGGCTAGTGCTTAGGTTCTAGCAGTGAACAAGACTACCTCCAGGAACTTCTAGCCTGAAATATTAAAAACGGGTTCCTGTTCTGTAATGGTTTGGCTTAGTCTAACAATGGTTTGTTGCTAAGAGAATCAGTGGAACTTGACTGTAATCCTTTTTTCTGTTAAGTAGAATGCAACTTTGCCAAGTTTCTTTAGGACCAAAATAACCTCATTATCCTGTGAAGTACTCCCATAATGTGGACCAAAAGGATAGTTTTATAGTGAGTTTTCAGTATAAACTCAGATTCTCTTTTAATATATTTATAAGAATTTGGTGTTTAAGTATTAAAAAGTGGTTACTTTCTTCTGGCATTTTCTATCATGCCAGATAATACATGGTCTCTTTGTTTAGACATGTGAGTGTGCTGAGAAATCTTTTCATTTTAACTAAGGTTGGCCCTCTGTGTAATTTTTTTTTCTGTACTTGGGCTTTATATTTTATTAATCTATTAGGATGCCAACAAACCTGCATTCAACTCTTTACCACACCTGAAGTGTGTATTTATGTAGCTGTAGTTAGCCTTAGATGTGTTTTGAATATTTCAGAATGCCAAATAATAATGAACCTAGACTTAGATCCCCATCATCATTTCTTAAGTAGGTTAGCTCTCCCATTTGCTTTGTTTTATTTTGTTCTGGGAAACAATCAGGGAAGTACAGAAGAGTGGACATTATTAAGTTCTAGTTCAGATTTGGAGTCTGGTCTGTTCTTGCTCTACTGTGGCCTTGAGTTTTGTTCACTTATAAATTGTAGATAATCATATATATGTTATGGGTTTATTGTGAAAATTACATAATGACATGCATGTAAAATGACATAGTACATGTAAAATACATAACATTTAGCAAATCTTCAATAAATAGTAGCTATTTTTTTAACTGTCATTCTCCTTTTTATTTCTGTGAAATCAGTTCCAAGTTTTGAGTTGTTGCGGCTTTGTTTCTCATATTAAATGTTTTGATATAACATTTTAGTTTTAATTAGCTGCTAGCCTAATTCTACAAATTACCCCAAGAGAATTGTTCAAAGCCAAAAACTTGTATTGACCAAACTGGAGTGTTCCAGACTTAGAGTATGGCATGTATTACTAAAAAATAAATTCTATTTTTTCAAGAGTGGAGAGAAATTGTTGACTTTTTATTCTTATCTTAAACTAATTTTTTTGCAGTAAATTAAAAAAATTTTTTTTTATTTTCCCTTGATCCTGTTGTTTTTAGATCTTTGAAAAGTTCAGGTTTAGCATGTGATTGACCTTTAGAAGTTAATTGCAAATTACATATGTAATTTAAGATAATGCTTTTTTTCTTTTTAAGTACTCTGGTCATTTAAAAGCTTGGGAATACTTTTGTTTGATATTTATGTAATGTGTCTAATATAATAGAAGGTTCTAAAGATGTATATAATCAACAACTGTTTAAGAGCCTATTATGTGACAGGCAGTGTGTTAGATGCAGAGGAAACACCTGTGAAAGAGAGGTGCAAATGATCCCTGCCTTTGTTGGGCTCTCCAGCTAGGAGAGATGACATAATCATCAAATGTTGGATGAGACTGCAGTTTTATAAGGAGCAGTGCAAAGTGCTGTGGGGTAGTAGATAAGGAAAGAGATACTTCACTTAGTCTGGAAGTGACAAGCTAAGGCCAAAAGCAAGGATAGAAAAACATCCTTCCAGACAGAGAAAACAGAAAAAACCTATGAAAGGTTTAAGGTAGGAAAGATAATAGTGGGTTCCAGAAACTAAAAGTTTAGTGTTGATCATGGAGAGCAAAGCAAAGTTGGCAAGATATGTAGAGTTCATATCTTGATGGGCCTTATAGGTCTCTAGGTTATCTTCAGATTGTGGATTTTATCTTAAGGACAAAAGTGAGTCAGTAAAATGGTTTTAAGCAAAGAGTTTACATGACCATCACTGCTTAAAGAGAATGGAAGACCCTTGAGTTAAGAAGCTCTTGTAATTACAGTGAAAGTCAATGGCAGCTTGGGCTAGAGTATCAATAGGGAAAGAAAGAAGATGAGTTTGAGAGAGATTTAAGAAAGAATTGAAATACTCAGTGATTGTGTATATGTAGTGGGGTAGAGAGAAAAGAGGTTTAGAGATGACTTTTAGGTTTTAGGTTTGAGGCATTGGTGTAATAGAGATCTTGTTTGTTATTGCTATGTGGAATTGTGGAGGAGTTGATCATGAGTTTAGTATCGGATATGATGAGTTGAGATACAGTCTTTTCTCTATTATTTACATCTGTTTGAATTCTTGTCAGATTTTTTGATGGGTTGAAATATAACAGGAAGAGACTGATAGTATCTGCTTAGGCCTTTGTTTAATTATACTTTGCCCTTTTTTTCCCCCACTCTATATAAACACCTGAGGTTAGGACATTCCAACAGTAACCATGGCTCCATTGCATTGATAATTCTCAATGGGATAGGTTGAGAATCAATAGAAAGGCAAATAGAGCTATGTGTATAAAAGTTGGGAGGATGGGATAGAGGATATTTTGGTAAAGGAAGGTAGAACTAGGAAAAGAAAATCACATAAAATTCAAAAGTACCAGTTCTTCATTGTTAGGGGCATTGGTTCAGTTAAAATAAAAATACTAATACTAAAAACAAGTAATTAAAGGAACACACTATGTGTTCATCTGTTAAGTGTCAGTATCAAAATGTCTAGACAGTGGTTCTGAGTATGTTGTCTCCCAAATGTAATCAACAGCATCAGCTGACAAATTTTTTAAAAAATGCAGATTATGGGGCCTAACCCCAACCTACTCAGAAACTCTGGGGGTGGGCCTCAGCAATCTGTTTTTAACAAACCCTCCAGTACACTAAAGTTTGGGTACCTTTGGTGTAGGTTCAGCAAACTGTCTGCAAAGGGCCAGATAATAAATAAATATTTTAGGTTTTGCAGACCATAAATCTGGTGTAATTGCTCAATTCTGCCTTTTTATTGAGAACGCAGCCATAGACATCATTTAAACAAGTGGATATGGCAGTGTTCCATTAAAATTTTATTTACAAAACAGGCAGTAGGCACATTTGGTCCAAGGGCTATTATAGTTTGCAGACTCTGGCCTAGACTGTAGACAAATATGGTGATTGTTGCCAGGATAAATGATGACAAATTAATGAAAATTTAGGCATTGGAAGTCAATCTGAATAGTTTCAAGTACTGGTTTATTTTATTAAACCTTTAATTATTGGATTCTTTATCTTTCTATTGTATTATTTTTCTCCATGGGAAATAATTTATATTTGTTTTGGTGTAAAACATATATTCTCTTCTCTAAAAATTCCAAACATCACAAAAAAACAGTAGAACAGAAAATGTCTCCATTTCCATTCTCCTTGCCCCAAGAGATAATTACTATTAAATTTTGACTATTTTTCTGGGTTCTTTCTGTACAGTATTAATATTTATTGTTTTTAACATAAATTTTCAAACAAATGTGTTTTTCTTAAAATTTGTTCTAATTAATTTATAAGTGATCTGTCAAATTATGAAATTATAAATTAATTTCAAATATATAAAATTATAACAGTTTTCTCTTATTATTTTGAAGGTCGTTTTGGAAACAGAAATAACAAATAAGTCTGCTTTGAAACTTTATGAGAATCTGGGTTTTGTTCGGGATAAGAGGCTGTTCAGATACTATTTAAATGGAGTTGATGCACTGCGACTTAAACTGTGGCTGCGTTGAGAAACTGACATCAAGGAACAACTTTCCAACCATGCAGAATCGACCTTTGCATGCAATGCAATTTGTACAGAATTGCTTTGCAGGTGGATTTAGTAATTTCCATGCAGCTCTTATCTGTCAATGTCTCATTGAGTGTCGCACAATATTTGTTGCACTTTGGCATGGCGCATTTGTTCTGAATTAAAAGAGATTGTTTTAAACTTAAAAGAGTTCTTTTGGTACCAGCAAGATGTGCCAGTTGATCACCAAGATTTGTTCATTTGCAAAGTCTGCTGACAATGTTATTTACACAGTGATCATTTTATCACAGAACCAGTAAGTGGAAACAATGATTTTTGTTCCTTAAAAAAAGCCAATGTAGATTGTAAAAATCTCTAAGTGTACTAACATTTCACTTGAAACCTGCCATAGTTTTCTGACGGGGTTGTGGGAAAGCTTCAATTTTAGGTTTTATTTTTCAATATTAAATTTTCCATTCTTGAACATTGGTACCTCAGTGAATAGTGAAAGAAAAAACTGTTTTGTAGGGTTGGGTGCGTCTTACAATGAGTAAAGATAACAATTAAATTGCGTCTGCCAGTGCCTGTATAGATATTTGTCTTCATCTCTTGTTTTTGAATGCATGCTAACTTTTCCTTTTCTTCAAGGCCTTTGCAAGCAAACTTTGTTTTTATTTAAATTCTAAATTTGATAATAAATTATTTCAGATTTTTATAATTTGGATACTTTTTCCAGGTGAGTGACAGTGTGGTTTACTGTAGTAGAAGTCCCTTCTTTCCTTACAGTAAGAACTTGAGTCTGCTTGGGAATCTTTGAGAAATGTCTCAAAGGGGATGAGAAAAGTTGATGGAGCCGGGAATTGCTGGGTTTTGGATGCACTTTTTTTTTTTGAGAGTGAGGGAATTTTTGGAAAAGAATAGAAAATTAATGTAAATTGGTATGATTTTATTTAATCAAAGTTATTGCTAAGCTGTGAGGAACAGCTTTTACAAACTAGTTGGAATTTTTTTTCCCACTTGATTTGAATTCATATTGCTTCTGTTTCTTAAAATGCTTCACTTTTGGTTCTTGGTCTTGGAAATAAATTTCAAGGTGCATTGTATTCATTTTAAACTGACTTTATTTTCTTTCCACTTACGTGAGCAAATTCTTGGGGAAGCTTTGCTTAGTTCCCAGGAAAACTCGGGAGAAATAGCGATTTTTTTTGGAATGAGTTCTGTGGGTTTTCTTAATAGCCATCACCATGTTCTTCATTAGTTACATTGTGTTTTGGCGGATGGTTGCAATGTAGCAAATATAAAGTTAATTGCTTTCAGTTGACTCAAGAAACTTGTGATGGATAACTTACTTAACTGGAAAACCTAGGTACCCATAAAAAAGAAATTCTCTGTGAAAAATGTTTGTAGGCATCTGTGTTCTTTTATCTTTAATTTGGATATGTTTTCCTTCTGCTCTAGGATTTGGTTTGAATTTTATTTTATGGCTATAATTACTGTATTTTTAAAAACCCTACCTCCATTAACAGTTGGTAAAGCCCCCTTTCAGGAAAGTTTGTTGCCTTTTTTTATTTTTTAAAGGAAAGCTGCTCCTTGCTCAGTGTCCTGTCTTGAAAGTGAACATGGTAACAAGTATTTTAAAATAAAGATACACACATTTGGTGAAAATTAAACCTTCCTGCTGGTGGGATCATTTTATAGTTCCTTATTTTTAAAGAAAACTTTTCCTTTCTGCTTGATATTGCTCTTGAAAGTTTAATGGGCAGAATACTGGTTACATTAAAAATATCACATACTACTCAGCTTACTAGCTGACCAGTTTGTGTGTGTTTCTGATCATACTTCATTTGGGCTATAGCATTTAGAGGAATGCCAATCATAGTGATGTTTGTTATTTTTTAATATAGAGGGAATTAAAACAGTTCAGTACTTAACATTGTCAAATTTAATCTCACCACTTTATATTTGACTTGTTGGCTCATGGGTAATGATTGTTGATAAACACACGTTTGTTTGACTTGCTATGGGGACAGTTCTAAAACAGGTATGTGCTAGATTTTCAATTCATGTGTTTTTGGCAGGTTGCCAATGAAACCATCACTACTGACTTTTTCCCCAGAATTGACTGGATGTTTGTAAACATGACCTTAACCATGTGATTAAAAAGTCACATGGTTGCCATATTGTTCATCTGGTATATGTTGAATATTGATGTCTACTTTATGTCTTTAATGGGATATTCAAAAATTTTTTACTTAAGCAGAGTAAAACATGCTTGATAATCCAGCACCAGAATTAAGTCTCCATTCCAGCTGAAGTAGCATCAAACATTAATGTACTTTTTCTTATTGGGCTTTCATTTTTTTTGATATGATCTTAATTCCATTTTAAATTGACAGAGTGAGTTCACTTGGCTAAAACTGAGCAAAATTGGTGCAACTTTCTTTTAATGGGGTGCTGCCTCTTTAAGACTGACTGTACTGTCAACTGACACTGGTTTGGCAGTTGATACTGCTGAACATTTTTATACATGCTACCGTGAAGCTATGTATGTTAGTATTGAAGAAGCTAACGGGTATACTACCATTTTTGATGTGCGGACTGATTGTAATTTTCCTTACATTAGGATGGAACTACTCTAGAGAAGTCCATAGATCAGAAACCAGGTGTAGTTTTTGAAGTTAAAGCCAGCAAAATAAAAAAAGAAAAAATTATTTAAAAATTGGTTTTAATATTTTCTGCCTATTCCCCACATTACCCTCCCCACTTGCTTGACAAATCTATGTAAAGGAGTTTCTTAGTCACATGTTTTAACTTTACCTTGTCCTATGTTATGGTATTCGGCTGACATGTATACGACTGGATGTGTATATTTATTATGGTGTCTAAAAATCATGAAGTTTATCACTTTCCAGGAGCATAGATAAAGTCACATTGGTAGTGCATCAGAGTTACTTTTCAGTGCACCATGACATCACTAAAATGAGTGTTATAATGTTCCAGGGCTTTCAGGTTTGTAAAAACATAACCATAAATTATATTTGACATCAGATATGAGTTGAGTATCTATAAAATACCACGTGTATCTCAAAATATCGGACTGTTGTTTGATGACTGGATATTGCTGCATAATTTTCTTCTATTGTCCCATATCCTTTTGGAGAGAGAGATTTAATGGGATTTGAAATGTGCAAGCTGTCTAAATAAGATGCAGTCAAATAAAGTTGGTTAAGTTGTGTTTGCATTTTTCTTTTAGATACAGCTGTGTGCATTTTATGGTTGGCTTGTTTTACTTGTATCTGCTAAGAAACAAACCCACTCAATCCTGTTCCCCTCTTCCTGCCTCCCATCCAAGAGTTACTTGGAAGAACTGACATACAGTTGTCATCATTCTACTTTGTGTTCTGACAATGTAAATTTGTAAATAACATGATTTTCCTAGAAGTATTCAGAATTAGTTAACTCATATCATATATCAGTACAAATGAGAGTATTTTTGCATGCATCAAACCCAAGCCCTTCTTTTGGTCCGTCTTCCATAGCAATTTATTCCTAAAACAGTTTTTGTTTTAATTTACTATGTTTTGTTTGTATTTAAGTAATGTTTTTTTCCCCTTGCCAAGACACCAAAGTGAAATGGAGCAATATTAAAAGGGCTTTTTGCCCTAGTCTTGTGAGAAGCTTTAAATGGTAGTTAGGCATGCTTTCATATTTCAAGATTTATGGGTATTAGTAGAATGAAGAGACCTGTTTTAATCATGACCCCTAAGTTACTTTCATATGCTTGCCAAGTCTTCACCTTGTTTTTTTATAGTCTTGTGAAAATACCAGTTCATGTTTTGCATGGGCCCTCCATGGAAGTTGAAATATTTCATGAATTGTCTAAATAAGGACCAGGAAGTTGATTCTGTTCTTTCACACCTATGAACAGAGATCAGTATTAACCTGTAGCCCAGAGTTATGGTGATACTTTTAAATAACTTCTAAAAAATGAGTTTGAAAAATCTCTTGTGCATATTAGCACACTGCACTTTCTTCAGATCAGCACTGTCCAATAGCACTTTTAAAGATAGATATGCTCTTTGTGTCCTCTGTTATGGTCACTAGTCACATAGCTATTGAGCCCTTGAAGAGTGGCTAGTATGAAAAACTGAATTTTTAATTTCAGTTAATTAAAATTTAAATAGCCACATGCAGTTAGTGGCCACTGTATTAAATAACAGCTTTAGATAATATTTAAGTAATAATAAATGAAAACTTTTTAGGTAGAATTCGTAAGACTATTATCTAATTTATTTAAATATGAAACAGGTTTATGAATATGCCTCTGAACAAGAGTATATAGCTGCACTGTTAATGTTGACAGTTATTTAATTAGTACAGTATCTGACACCACCTCTGTCCCTGCCCTCATTATGGTGTAGCCCTTTTGAGAAAGCCCCCCTTTTGATTTTTATTTGGAAGTTCACTGGGTTACAGAGATGCACAGATTCAAGTGCCAAAAATTGGTTTCTGATGAGACTGTCATATTTTTAGCATTAAAACATTTATATAGCTAAGCCTAATCATTTCTCATTTTAGATGAATTTGAAATCATTTCACCTCTAAATAAGATTGTTCAGTTTGCATTTACCAGTGGTCAAACTGGAACATGGAGGTATGCTTATACTTTTTTTTTTTAATAATTCGGGAAGGTTATTCATGCTGATGTAAAGGCCAGTTTTTTTGTTTTTGTATAATGAGAGAACCACATTAATTTTGCTGTGTTCACTGGCCACAGTGTGTGTTATCCTTAATCCTAGGTGATCATCTATCTATCTTGTGTTACTCATCAAAAAGACAAGAGTGGGGATGGTACACACTGTTAACACGACTGGGGAAAGAGCTAAAAGCACATTTTCTGTTGATAGCAGCCAGTTTAAACTTCCTGTGAAAAAGACCTAGGAATAACAAAAGTGCTAAAGTGCCCAAACTATCTTCTACCTGAAAAAGTGTAACAATGCAGGGATTATAATGTAAGGTTTTATAATGCTAAGAAATAAGCTCATTTTTAGTTACGGATTTTCGTGATTACCTCTTTGCTGTATGAATATATCTCAATTTTCTAATACCTCAGTTTCCTGAGAACCTGTATGTATATTTTTGTAAATAAAATAATTTACCATATGCTAGGGGAAGGACCTGGCTTTTAAAGAAATTGTATAAAGACATTTGTTGCTAGATTTGTTACACAATGAATCAATTTGAAATTTCTTAAAAATGGTTTATAGCCTTTTCTGGTCCCCTTGACTGAGGTTCTTTTTAGTAAACATTATTTATTTAGTGAGATTTGTGTACCAGGAAGTGTGTACCCTCATGTGTTCATTTACAACTGCAAAGATTTGTATATCCTGTGTTTTCCTTTTATGCCAAAGAAACTCACCCTTTTTAAAAGCCAGCAGGTTGAACAAACTGAAAAAAAATTGCCCCTTAAATAGGCACTGCTAAGTTTTATTTGCTGAGATTTAAATATTTTCTAGAGAAAATATACTCAATTTTTAGTTAAAGCCAGTATTAATAATTTGTAAAATGCATGTGTTTTTAGGAATGCATTGGTTCCATTAAGGATAGCATGTTGACAATTTTAAGGAACTGTGTTGCATTAAGATCCACAATTGCATGAAACTTTTTAAAGCTGATATAAGATATAAAGTAATTGCTAAATTTTAAGTATATTTGCGAACTATTCAGGATTCAGTGGCCTAACATATAGGGGATTGATAACTCATCTTCAGGGCCAGATTTCCCATGATTGTACATGGTTATTGATCATTTGAAAAGGGCTGAACCTGCTGCCTTAAAGCTAAACCTGCTGCCTTTAAACTTTGCTACCTCCCTCCCTCCAATCATGACTGTAAACAGTGACTCTTTGCACAGTCAGCTAGCATTATACTTGATTTTATTGTGAATGCAAATAAAATAAAGTTTGTAAGTCCACCAAGTATTGACTTAACTAGGTAAATGTAAACTGATTCAACCTTGTACTTTGGCCAAGTCTGCGTGATAGTTATGATAACTTGGAAATGAATTGCCTCAATATTGATGTGAGCATTGTGTTTTGAGTTATTGTGGGAATAATTATTCATATTTGGAACTGATAATGAATATTTGAAGTGTTTATTTCAGTCCTGATGATAATTGGGCAAGTTTCTTAACCTCTCAGCCTTTAGTGATAAATACTTGATAAGCTTATTGTGAAGAATAAATGAGCTTATCACCTTAACAGTGCCTTGTGGCCAAGTACAAAGTAAATAATAAAAGGTAGTTTATATATATATATTATTATGAGAGTGGCCTAGACAGTAGCAACTGTAAAGAAAAAATGTTTTGCCTGTTAGTTGTGGAGAATATTAAAGTAGAAAGAAGAGCATAATCTCTCCATGTACCAACCAGGCCCAAACACACATGGTCAGTTTGGTGCCAGCCATTCTCCCACCTCTCCTTTTCATATTTTTTCAAAGCAAATCCCAGAGGTTATATCTTATCTAGAAATATTTCCCTATTTATCTCAAATGGTGAGGTCTCATTTTGAAAAACAAAACCACAGTACCATTATACAAACCATAATTCTTAATCATACAACCAGTATTAATGCTTCAATTTCTAGGAAATTGTTTTTAATAGCATTAAGATGTATAAGTGGAGGGTATAAAGAATGCTGAGGAGGCTACTCTTTCACAGAGTATAAAAGATTTCTGTTAGAAGAACTGTAAACATCTAAAATAGCTAAGTTTGAAGGTACGGATAAATGATTAAAGGAAAGAAAAGCAGTGGAAAGGTAGATCTGGAGTTGAAAGTAGAGGTTGTCTTGTGTATCACAAGTACCCAGTGTTTTCCTGTGGGTGTTACATGACACATTCATTGGGGAAGAAATAGAGTTGGTGAAACTGGTGAAATTGTCAACCATGACAGGAATGACTTTTAGGAGAAGGGGTATAATTAGCAAAACATTGCAGAAAAGATATTGAGTAAGAAGAAAAGAAAAATAGGTGGTAATATAGGCACAAAATTTTAAGATGGTTAAGCAACTGAAGACAGTTTTTTTCTTTGGAAGAAAACATGGTGGGGTAAAGATAAGAGCCACCCTATATTCAAACACCCAAGCTCATCTTCAAAAAAGGAACAATAGAGATGCAACTCAGGATAAATTCATCGTAGCCATTATCTAAATTTATAAAGATACCCTAAGCCATGTGTTTGACTAGAATTATCAGAAATACATAAAATCAGGAGATGATTCTATGACTTTGTATGCAGCTACACTAAAGGTATATAGAGTATGAGATACAGAATTGTGATTCTTAAAAGCCAGTTAGGCCAATTTTTGTTTAAAGAGCACCTGGATATCTGTACAACCTACTAGAGGATCACTGTGGTCTGACAGCTATTGGGATGTGATCCCCTCAACTTGGCGGGGAGAGACCTCTGGGTAATGTTCTGTTTCCATTACTGGGATGGCAATAGAGGAGGAATAGTAGTAAATAGCATGCAATGAGATTGCCTTCTTAAAGTTTTCAAAGCAGTTTCACTTTAAAAAGATCTTTAGAGATGGAAAGGTAAAGCCAGTACTCAGGTGCTTAAATGACATCTCTGTCCAAGATCACACAACAGTGATGACATGTGAACCCAGACTTGCTGAGTCTCCTAGATCTGGTTTACTTCCTGCTGCCCCTTCAGTGCTTGATGAAACCCAAACAGGATAGTCCAATATGCTTAATTCTGTTGGATAAAATTAAAGGTTTAATGAATTATACTAAATTATTTAAATTAAGCTGTTTGATTCAGCATAAAATTTAAATGTTCTCTTAAAATGCTTGATTGGTCTAATTTGTAAAACCCATTAACAGATTTAGGGGTAAGTGGTTTTTCCTAACATCTAATTGGTTTCTAATAATCAGGTCTATAGTATCTTTCAAGGGAACTGAAATTGAATTCTTTTTTTAAACAAACTTTCCTTATGTATTGTCTTATGCTATGAAAGTTGGAATGAATACTCATATAATTCATTTATTAAATATTTAAGTTTGAAGTCTAATTAAAATGTAAATAGAAACTGCAATATCAGATGTTAATATTCTCTATAGTGCTAAGCCTACAAAAAGAAACATTAGGAAATTATTTTTTGTGTATATATATGTGATATGTGTATTTATATATGTGTGTATATAAATCATGTTTAAATTTATATTCTGACCTTATGTTTACCTCAAACCTGATAGAGCAAAAGAGATTATTTTCTTCCATGAGGCAATAGCTCTATTCAATTATCCATTAAACAATTACTGATGAACTGCTTTGGGCCAGGAATTATGCCAGGCTGAATGGCTGTTGTGGGGCTCATAGACCTACCTGAAGTAAAAGCTTGCTTGAATTAGAGTATCAGCTGTGGGTGATAGAATGTTAGATTATTGGGTTGGTTTATAAGGTTGCCTTCAAATTGACTAGTATGCACAGCCTGTGTCACTTAAAACACTGGATGGATCAGGGATGTCAAGCATTCTAGGAGAATAAATCTTTGCTATTTCCATACTCATAAAAATGGAGTTAACAATATTTGTCTTTCAGGATAGTGATGCAGGTTCCACTGGAGTGTAACTGTGATGGTAGGGAGTTTGTTCATGGCTGTATTTGTTCACTGCCCAATGCCTGGAACATATTAAACATAAAATAAATACTTACTGCATAAATGTATTAACTGATGTAGAAGTTTTTTAAGGTGCATAACAAAGTTTTCAGACTTGAAATCAGAGGTGTCAAAGGTGTTAAATGGCAGACAATCCATCTCTATGTATTTCTCTTCCTCCTTTCCTTCCTTCATCATGAAAGTATACCTCCTTTCCTTTACCTTTACATCATAAGGTTATAAGAGATTACTTTCTGCCATGAGGCAATAGCTCTATTCAGTTACCCATTAAAAAAATTACTCAACCTGCTCTGGGCCAGGAATTTTGCTAGTCACTAAAAAAGAAAAAGCCAGCTGAAGGGCTCATGTGGAGCTCACAAACCTACCTGAAGCCCTGTGTGATATGTAGAGGTGATTCCTAAACTTTTCTTTTTCATGATGCTAAGGGTGTTGACAAGTCAAAATCTCTAGAAAATCAGTTAAATATCCTTGATATTTTCCTTTCTGAATTATTTTCCTGCATTTTTAAAGAATCAACCAAAGACCACTGTGTTTGTTAATATTTATAAAATTAAAAAAAAGTCAAATGTTTAATTTTGCAGACACTTTAAATCAAAGTACAAGTAACTGAATTATAAATTAGGCCTAAGAAATTGAACAAGAAAATTTTATGGAAGTTGACATATCTGATACATATATTTTATCCCAAATGAAATAACTTTTTTATAAACCTAATGCAGCTGGACACTGATTTTGTAAAAAAATTTTTAATACATACTTTCAGCTATGAGGTTAACTTCAGTGCTTTAAAACTGACAGTGCTTTAAAACTGACTGTATATTTTCAAGTTTTTCTAATGTAACTTAAATTTTCCCATTCCTTGGCCATCTGATACACCACTTCTGACTCCCCCATCCTAAGAACCTTGCCAAGTCAGCTATAGAAGTCGATCATCTAGCAGAGCCAAGAGCTCAAACACACCTTTTCAGTCAAAGCAGCCTACTGACAGCAAGGCAAATCAAGGCCAAAAAACAAGGTCATTTTTATATATAGAAAAATAAATGGAGGCAAAAGGGATCCAGCCAGCTAGAGCCAAGAATCTGGTTATTTAAGCAGAGGGGAAATAATATTAGCAGAGATTTTGTGGATTGAAGTAGATCTAGGCTTCTGAGTCTTAAACCAGTATGGTTTCATTTTTACAAAAAATTTTTTAAATATGAGGATATTTTTTCCAAATGCAATGTCAGCAAAAGTCATTACACCTACCTTGAAAGATAGGTAGCTGAGTTGCTAAGTTTAGGTTGCCTTTACTATGGGAAAATATGGTTGACTTTTGTGTATGTGTGAGTCAACCATATTTTCAACTTAATTCCAAAGAAGAAAATTTTCTTTTGAATAGTTATGTAACTATGTGTGAGCCTTACTGTTTTTTTTTTTAACCTCAGGGATTTAAGTAAGTTAACTACAAGTTTATGCATTTGGTTATCCAGATAGAGGGATGTCTGGGAAGTAATCTTAATCCTTTTGGTCCCTAGTCTGAGCATAACACATGAAAAATGAATCTGGGCATGGGGCAGACAGTGGGAAACCCTGTAGCACAAACGGAATATTGCTAACATCAGAAAGGATGTCTAAGTTCCCAACTAGAGCACACCATTTAGTCATCTGACCAATCTTGAATGAGCACCTATTTGGCAACATAGAAGAAAATCTCCACTCCTTCAGCATCAAGTCGTCTGTGAGGGCCAAGACAGCAGAAGTCGAGGGAAGGGTAGAAAGAAGTAATTGAAGGTCTAGGGGGCTCTGGAGTTATCTGCATTCTTCCAGCAGACAGCAGTCCCCAGATACTAATGGGATTCCAGCAGACAGCAGTCCCCAGATACTAATGGGAAGCTTGGGAACACTTAAACATTCAGTCATATGGTGAGTCAGTGCTCTGGAAGGCAAATTTTGAAAAATTCATTAGGAAGCAAGGGAGAAATCCTCTTCCTTGTAAGCAGTTTAGAACTGGGTAATGCAAGGGTGTATGGATCTTTCCAGCAGCCTAATTGTCTCTTCAGGCCGTAATCAGCATTTTGTAGCATCTCTCTGTCCCTCCTCTTAAAAAAAAATTCTAAAAGGGCATTAGTGAATGCCATGGAGTGTGTGTGTGTGTGTGTGTGTAGGGGAGATAGCAAAAAACAAAGCTCCCTCTGAAGTAATCTTGTCCCCCTTCAAGAATGAAGGCCTTTATCTTCCCCATTGTTGGGAATACTGCTAGCAGACAGTCCTCACCTGTCAGCCCCCACCGGGAAGTAACTCAGCCAAAGAGAGCTGCT